TGCACTATGGGCACAATCTCTGCTGTTATCTGAGAAATTATTTCTGATTTCATTTTTTCCAGATCCTCTTTTGTTGTCAGTTCAGGGAATCCAGGTGGATGAGTATAATAGTGTTCCGTCTCATTTCCCTTTGGGGTTGCTTTAGGTGATCTGAAAGTCTGGTTTTGAGACTTGTTTATGTGTCTTCTCATTTTAAGGGGGAGTTGGCTCACCTCCTCAGCACTGGGGAGGACTTTGCTTCTTGACACTGGGGATGGTGGTACCGTGGCCCAAAGCTCACCTTCTCGGTGCTGGGGGGGCCTCTGCTCTTCAGCACTGGGGGCGGTGGTACAACAGTCCAAATGATCAGCTTCTTGGTGCTTGGGGACTCTGTTCCTAGGTGCTGGTGGCAGTGGTATAGTTGCTCAAAAGGCTCTGCTCCTTGGCACTGTGGGCAGTGGCATGGCAGCTCAAAAGGCTCAACTCCTCGGTGCTGGGGGCTCTGCTTCTAGGTGTTGTGGGCATTGATATGGTGGCCCGCAAGGCTCACCTCCTCAGCACTGGAGGTGCTCTGCTCCTTGGCACTGGGGTGGTGGTATGGCCTCTCACAGATTTCTATAGCATTAAGATTTTTAGTATTAAATAATTAAATGAGAGAAAACCTTTTTTTTCCCGTGGCAATCAAAAACTTACAGCAGTATTGTTTCTTTTTGGTGCACGTTGTGGAAAAATTAACACCAAATTAAAAGTCATTGCAATATAAACATTCAAAGTAAAATCCTGATGGGGAAGAAAACAAAAACTTATGTAAATGATAATATTGGCTCCAATAAGAAAAACATGCAACATGATGTACATGATATATGATGTTGGGATATAAGCCAATATCTTGTCATAATATGAAAAACATAACATTTGCTAACCTATAAGTTGTGTGACAACAACTCAACTTAGTCAAAAACACATGTTCCACAAATCTCGGAAAATACATATCTTAATACAAAATGTAGCATCAAATAAAAAGCATCTTTTTCACACAGAATATGGAGTATATGCACCAAAAATTTAAAACAAATGTAGTGCCAAAATCCCAACAACTAACCAAAAGTAATTTAAAATTTTAAGTTTAGTGGCCTGTACATCATAATTTTAAAGAGGAAGTGGAACTACATAGACACTTATTGTACTTCAAAGTAAATAGTACCTTTTAATTCACCATGTACAATTAAAAGACACCATGGGTTAAGTACAAAAACACTCAAAAATACAAAATTATGTCAACTCAATTTTTTGGGGGGGTGGGTAATGGGGATTGAACTTGGGACCTTGTGCTTGCAAGGCAGGCAGTGGAACCACTGAGCTAAATCTCCAGCTCAACTCAATATTTTTATATTAAACTCAATCTAGATATCTACAACCGATTTACTGAAAACCATACAATGTGGATACTTTAGAATATCTCTATCTGGAATTTGTATTTTCTGCCAAATTTGGGAAGAAATATTGACATGAAATTTTTTGTATTAATCACTTCTACAGGTCTCCACTGCGTGAGAATTTTTCACAGGACTTTTAAAATAGGCTCACGTATGTAAAGTTTCTCCCCAGTGAGACTTCTTTCATTTCTTTAATAATGTGTATGGACTGACATCTATCCCATATTACTTATATACTTACGGGTTTATCCCCAATGAGATTTTCATATATTTGACAGTCGTGTGTGCTGGAAGTTTTCACCTTACAGATGTAAGATCAATACCCAGAGAGAGGTCTTTCATGTCTTTGACAATCATGTGTGATGAAAGCTTTCCCACATTACTTACATAGGGTTTTCCCCAATGTGAACTCTTTTATGTATTTGATAATATCCCTGTGTGATGAAAGCTTTTCCACATTGCTTACGTAGATAGAATTTTTCCCTAGTGTGAACTTTTTCATGTGTTTGACAGTGCCTGTTTATTCTGAGAGCTTTCCCATGTTGCTTACATACATAGGGTTTCTCTCCAGTGCGAAGTCTTTAATGTCTTTGACACTTACCACGTGTGACGAAAGCTTTCCCATATTTCTTACATTCATAGGGTTTTTCCCCAGTGTGAGCTCTTTTGTGTTTTTGATGAGCACCACGTGTGCTCAAAGCTTTCCCACAAAGTTTACGTACATATGGCTTCTTCCCAGTGTGAGCTCTTTCATGTGTTTGCCAGCAACTGCTTCTCCTGAAGCATTTCCCACATTAATACATAGAGTTTCTCCCCAGTGTGAACTCTTTCATGTATTTGACAATATACATGTGTGCAGAAAGCTTTCCTACATTGCTTACATTCATACAGTTTTTCCTCAGTGTGAACTCTTTCATGTGTGAACTTTTCACTTACTGCGTGTGATGAACACTTTTCGACATTCCTTACATTCATAGGGTTTATCCACAGTGTGAACTCTTTCATGTGTTTGACAATGACTTTTTGTGCCGAAAGCTTTCCCACATTGCTTACATTCATAGGGTTCTTCCCAGTGTGAACTCTTTCATGTCTTTGATATTCAGCAAGTGAGCTGAAAGCTTTCTCACACTAATTACAAACATAGGATTTCTTCCCAGTGTGAGTTCTTTCATGTCTTTGACCAAGAACTATATGTGCTAAACATTCTCCTACATTGCTTCCATGCATATGGCTTCACCCCAGTGTGAATTCTTTCATGTTTTTGACAATTACCATGTGTACAGAAAGCTTTCCCACAATGCTTACGTAGATAGGGTTTCTCCCCAGTGTGAACTCTTTCATGTACAAAGGCCTTCTCTCTAAGGTGAGTTCTTTCACTAAGATCAGAGTAGGATTTCCCACATTGATCATGTTCACAGGGTTTCTCTCCAGCCTGTGTCCTTGCATGCTTCTGAAAGGACTGAAAATCACTGCAGTTTTCTCCCATGATGACCACAATTATATAGATTCTCTTCAAATCCCAAGTATTTATATGATTTCAATGCAGTGTGAGCTATGATGGGCACATTTCATGACAAATGCCCAATCAGAGGTTTCCTACAAGCAAGGCTTTCAGCTGGTGTTAAACCAGCTCTTTTCATGTCCACATTAGCATCTGGAGTCCAGAGGAGTATTTCTTCATATTGATTCCAAGCTCTATATTGATAGCATGTCTTTACTTCATTTTCAAGCTATATACATCTTTGTAAAATATTGGTGACATTAAATTCAACTTGGCTTCATTTTCTTGACTGTCATGTTTCTGACTGTCATGTTCTGAGAATCATGCACTGATTCTCGAGGAACATTCTTTTTCTTTGTGAGTGCAAATTACCTTAGATTTCTTCAATAATTTTTATATTTTTCTTCAACTTCCTTGTTATCATAGGCTCTTTCTATACCAGCCATGTTCCTAAAGGTTTCCCCCATCACATCTCTGTAGAGCTTCTTTTGGGGTGGATTCAGCAAAGCCCACTTCTCCATGGTAAAGCTCACAGCCTCATCCTCAAAGGTCTCTGTCTTCATTGAGGGGCTTGAGGGTCTCCCAGGATCTTTCCTATGCAGGCTGCAGCTAGTAGAAGCCACAGAAGCAGCCTAGGAAGCACTATGCTCTAGGCAGGCACTTTGGCACCATGACACCGGAAGCAAAACTTTTGTTTTATTTGTTCTTGTATCTCCATTGCTTAGAACATTGTCTGCTATGTATTTGTTGAAAGAATGAATGAAATAATGCTCTCACAATTGGAAAAAGGGCTTTAAGAATAGCTACCATGCATTATACATGAAAATATTAAGAATAATATTTATCATAGTACTTATGAATATTTGTTATAATACTTATGATATAGGTAATATGAGGTGTGATAAAAAATACAGTGAATCCCCACATTTTTAAGAAATTCTTACAGTAAAAGACACATTTATATCCCTCAAAATACTCCCCCTTGCTTCAAACACACTTATCTAATGTTCTTGACAGTTTCTGATACAGTTCTGGAAGTCTTCTCCTATGATTATCTTTAGTTGCATTGTCATGGCTGCCTCAGTGTCCTGAATTGATTCCAAACATTTACCTTTCATGGTTGTTTTTGCTTTGGGGAAGAGCCAGAAGTCACAAAATGCTAGATCCCATGAATGAGGTGGGAGAAGAGACATCATGGTATTTTTACAAGGTTGTCTTTTTGTTAGATTACACTCAGCAGCAACATTCACCAAATTTTTTATCATACCTTGTAAAGATACTCACAAAAAAGTGCTCTCAGAACTGCTTCAGAAAGTGGTAAGAATGGTGGCATAAGCGAGAAAAGAATATTTTCAAGGGGATTAATAGCAATGTCTCTTTTTTTTTTGGTACTGGGGATCAAACTCGGGTCCTTTCACTTGCAAGGCAGGCGGTGGAACCACTGAGCTAAATCCCCGGTCCATGTCTCTTTTGATAATAATAAATTTTTAATTTAAACATTCAGTGTCTATTTTTATTATACCTCATATCCTGAGATTTCTTTGACCCACATTTGCCAGATTTTTCATTTCCTCTCATTTGCTTTTCTTAGGGACGTGCATCCTTAACACAAGAGAAAGAGAAGTTTGCCCATGAACACAAAGAAATGAAGAACCTAGAAGCCATTGTTCAAGAAATAAAACCAACTGCCCTCATAGGTAAACATTTTCTCCACCATTCTCCTTTTTCCCATGCCTCATTTTTATCTCATTGGCTTTCTTACTACCAGTTTTTTAGATATACTTTAGCTTTTTTGAAATTCTAACCCTTGGAATTCTGAACAAAATTATAGTCACTCAAGCAGCAGTACCCCGTAGACACCTACTTGTAGATCTCTGAGATCAGTTCTGCCTTCTTGGTATTACTGACTGGCTTGGTTGTGTGACCCTGTCAGCCTGTTGAGACCTGGCCTATTTGGCACTTTTCCAGGCTTGATTATTTTCGAGAGGCTGTTCATCTCCAGTGGGAGGGCTTTTGTTTCTAGGGAACATTAGGCAGTGTTTGGAGATAATTGTTTTTAGTTGTCATAACTACAAAGGGAATTTTGAGAGGTAAAAGGGACTAATGACATCTTGTAGGGAGAAGCCCGGGATGCTATTAATAATCCTACAATGCACAGGACAGCCTTGCAATAAGGAATTACTCAGCTCAAAGTGACAATAGTGCGAAGGCTGAGAAACACTGAAAAGACTCTTGGAAGACAGGGATCATGTTTCAAACATCTTTATATTTCTTGTAGCATTTAACATGCTACTTACACATTGTATGTACTCAGTAAGATGTGTCATATTGTCAAATTTATTTAAAAACAATCTCAAACCCATTTTCCAGTCCCCTTCTGTCTCTCTTAGACAGAAGCTTTCTTTCTCTCAATAAATTTTTCCTACTCTTCAAAAAAAATCTCAGAAATTAAGGGAGTTTATCCTTTCTTTTGTGTGTATATGTCAATCTTTACTTTGCATCACACTGTAATCCTTGGAGCACTTGTGAATAGTTGACTGTATTGAGAATAATGATAATT